AAACAAAGAGAATACAGTGCGGGATTATTATCCCGTACAGGCTGGAGGACAATGCAAAGATCCACATACCACAGATTCCTCTGATTCACACGTGTAGACAGTGAGTTTGGTCAACCAGTCAGCTGACTCCTCCTTTTTCTCATCCCAAGTTAAACTCACTCCTCTTTAAAAGTCTTAAAGAGCTGTTCTTATCTCTTTTTTTAAATCTGTTTATGTTGCTGATATAGTTTTGTTGGTGGTCTTAAGAAGGGTTTTATGAGACAGACCAACACAAAGTAGTGCAGAAGTAGTTTCATTATGTGGTGGAAGGGGAAAAAAAGTGAATCACTTGCAAACTTTTTTAAAAATAAAAATCTGCTGTGTGCGACTTTGGTGTGAAAAAGGTGAATCTGCACCTCAGTGTCTTTTACAGCCTGCAACAGTTTTTCCTTCCATCTATCCATTAACTCTGACTACCTTCCCCACAGCATGATGCAACCACTACCATAACTCATGGTGCAGTTGGGTGGTGCTGTCTCTCATCATGTTCCTGGTCTAATCTGACCAGAGAACCTTCTTCCAAATGTTTGCTTTGTCCTCATGGTAAACTGAAAATAAGACTTCTTATGGTTTTCTTTGGACAATGGCTGACCTTCTGCGTTAAAAGATATTGGCCTTTCAACAACAGATTGTCCCACCTAATGGATAGAAGAGCGCTCCATTAACACGTAGAATATTGTTTTATATCATAACCCAGCCTTGAACGTCTCTGGACTCTACTTACTACTTGGCTGACCTCTGAAGGCAATGCAGGGTTTCCCTCAGTGTATTATGAGCCTGGCGGGCCACCAGGCTTTACTTGTGCCCCCACGAGGCAAAGCATTGCTTACTTATTTAATATTTTTTTTTTATGTTTGCATTTTTAAAACTTTATAGTTGTTGTTCAGATATTAATCTTCCAATCTTCCATTTACACATAATTATCAAGTGATATTTTCAAGTCTCTTGTCAACTTTAAACATTTTTTTAACTCAAAAACACAACGGGCCGCTGGATGAATGACTGCAAGTTTTCTGGGGGAAACCTTGCAATGAGTTGCATTGGATTTTATTTATGACTATCAGACAAAAGTGTGCTGACACCAGAAGCATGCCATAATTTTCAAGGTGCTTTTTTTTAATGTGTAGCTACGTATTCGTGTCTTTCCACTTCTCTGCCTTTTGTTATTCAATCACATAAAATTCCAATAAAATAAACCGAAACCCGTGGTTGTGTGGAAATGCTATTGTTACTGGAATGTATATTCATAGAGTAAACTCGCTATGAAGGTAAATTTAAATACACAAATATTTTCCATTCATGCAGCGCTTCAGATTTCCCTTAAACTGAAAGCACTGTTCAGGTTTTGCTAACTTTGCAAAGCCAGTAATAGCTGCTTTCATCAGCTGTAGCTTGTTTATGTATGGGGTGTTGTTAAAAAGTGGAGCTTTTCCACTGGGCAACTCACCTATTCCTGAATAAATACTTTCAGGCTTATCTGCCATTAGTTTCCACAGCGAGTGTACGCAAATATTTGGCACCAGACAGCACAGATCTGTAGTTGAGGGGCCCTCTTGACGCCCAAGCCAGATGAGAGATAAACCATTTCATAACACATTCTGCAAGCTGCCACCAAATCCATGTAGGGATTTATCCTCATCCTACTGCTGCTGCTTATCCAAACCGGCATAAAACAAGAAAGTTTGAGGAACTACGTATAGAAAAAATGCTTCGATTGAAAACAAACGTGTGCCTGTTGAACTCAAGGGTGCCACTTCCTTTTCCATCAACGTCACAGTTCGTTGAGAAAAACAGTACCAGTGAAGCGCTTAACGTCTGCTGCACGCTGAACCCGGGCACCTCACAGTGCCACCGACATCCCAGGGGAAGTCCACCACCCCCTCCACCGCCTCCCTGCGAGGTCCCTGGGGCCGTCGCTTGTGGCAGAGGTATCGCGATCGCTGAGCTGCCGCAGCAATTTTTAGAAGGAAAACAAAGAAATCTCCATGACACGAGGGGGGGGACAGGAAGCTGTGAAGGCACCGGCATCGCCCTCGTCCTGCGCTCCACCCATCGCCAGTTTAGAGTGGGCTAATCACAGGGGCTAAAGCCTGACGCCCTCCACCCACCCTGAGGTCACTGGCTTTTCTCCATCCGCCACAGGGGATTCATCAGGAGACGCAGCAGGCCAGACATTTCTTTCAGTATGTGCAAAGAAAAGGGACGCAGAATAAAACGAACAAAAGGCCTGAAAACACGTTTGTTTTAATATGCACAGTGCCTCGTAATATTGCATGATTGCGGAGTGGATATGAAGAGGATGTTTTCACCATTCTCTAATCTTAAAAATCTGGGAAATGTGGCACACCCATATTTGCCCCCGGCCCCTTTATTAGGCCTGGGCTTTTATCATGTCATTTAATATTCATCAACTGTACTGTTATCTTGATCAATTCCAATTAATGATGTTAAATAAAAAACAAAACTGACTATTTTATTTTAAATGTTACTTTTACAATGCTGCCCATTTTTTGTACAAGAACATCAATAGATATCAGTAAATTCAAAAATTAACTTAAAAACTTAGTAAGAAGCCTGTTTCATAAGTTAATGTTTTTCAAAAGTAGTACGTTTACAGAGCCATGAATGCTGCACACAGTTTCCTAAAAAAGGAGTAATAAATAGATTTTTTTAATCACAACTTTATCATTATCACAATAACACATTTCATAAAATTCAACGTCCTTATCGCCCACCTCAACTCTTTACCGTTATACCCCTAATTAAAAGTGCAAAAATCAAAATTAATCTATTTATCAACAATATTTCAGCTGTGTAGCATAATATTTGAATAAATAAAAATGTAGTTTTTGGTTGACATGCAAAAGACTGTGTTGCAGAACAAAATTAACAATCCCAATAAAATACATGCAGATTTATGGATGAAACGTGAAAAATGTGAAAGACTTCAAAGCGTACATGCGAGGCTCTCCACGCTCCATCTGATCCCCTTTGTTTTTATCTAGCAGCGGTGCTCATGTTTTGCCGGCTTGGAGATGTTAACACATGGCCCTGTTTTCCATCCACTCACCAGGAAATGCATCATAGTTCATTGTGGGGGGACTTTAGTGTTTTTTTAACAGGGAAGTGCAAAAATAACTATCAGCCTGTGGTTCCTAAGCCTGTCGGAGTGCCAAGATTCAGGAATGCAGAGACTGAAAGAAAGATGTGTTGATTTGATATTAAGCAGACAGGCTGTTTGTTTTTTTGTTGTTGTTCTTGATTTAAAAAAAAAGAAAAAAATCCCTTCCAGATTTGTTTTCTTTTAATTAGTTTTTAAGGGAGTGTGAAACATGATTCAAGTTAATTTATTTTATTTTTTTTTTTAAATACAAAGAAAAACATTCTATGGACTAAGAAAATTATTCACTGGTAGATAGGAGGGGAAAAACATGCACTGGAGATGAAGAGTAAACCACAAAGCTACAAGGAAATAAAAGAAAGCCATGGGATTAAGAGCGGGGATCCCTTTTTCCAAGCTTTAGCATCCGCTGAGGAAACTCTAGAAGACACGGACGCAGAGATATGAGCGCACAACTCAGGAATGAAGGATGTTTGACGTCGTTCCCAGCATGGCCCCCCCTTTTCCCTGCCTCTTCCCCTCTGACACACTCCACAACGCTGATTGAGTTGTTTGCATCGCCTCCTGTTATTGCCAAGGGAACTTCTAACAGAACCAAAAAAAAAAAGAAGATAAAAAGAACTACATTCCCATCAGCCAGTTCACCTTTACATCTACAAAGATGCAGATTAAGACAAGGAGGAGAAAGAAGCTGTAAGGGAGCCATAAGTCATAGCATGAGATGAGAGCAAGCTTTTCACATGGGGGTGCTAAACAATGGGGACTATATTTGCTTGAGGTTTCCCAAAGGCATTTCCTGACAGCTTTGAAATTACATCTCACTAGATTGCAAGAAGGTTGCGGGAAGCGCTGTGAGGCCAGAACGTAAATTTGACTCACGGTTTGATTGCAGGCTTTAACTTGCCTCAACTTTTTTGCCCACCTTCGACTTTCGTCTGCTGGTTCGTTTCTATCTCGTTATCATTGCTGAGTAATTTCCTCACCAGGTGGGACAGTATAAAAAAATATATATATGGATGTTTGTGCAGACATGTCAACTTGTCTGCCTTCCAGGTTTTTTCAGAGGGTTTTCCATGCATGTGGAATACAGATTTCATCAAGTCCTCCTCCCACCAACTCTGACGAACTTCAGAAGAAAAGCATCTCAACAGCATGATGCTGCTGGCACCAGGTTTCACCCTGGGGATATCATGTGGGTATGATAGTTCTTTTTGTCAGAGCTTTTTGCTACCAAAAAGTAAAATTCTGGCAAAAAGTAAAATTCCAATGGGATCTCTTTTAGATTTCTTCATGGCTTTCTTCTGCTCTTCCATAAAAGCTGCATTTCTGAAGAGCATAACAAATAGACGACCTGTCCTCCCACCTGAGAAGTGAATGTCTGCAGCTCCTCCACATCTGCAATGAGCTGCTTCTTTATACTATTTGCTCTTTTTTTTTCTCCTACCAAACCTTGGAGGTCTTCACAAAGCTGAGATTGAATTTAACAGATAAACTCTGTTTTCTGAAAGCTGCTGGGTGATTTTACTTTGAGGTCCCAAAGTAAATGGGGGTAAAGGCAAAATATGACACTTAACTATTCACAGTTTCAAAATCTTTATTCTGTCTACCTCTCATTTACACCCTACTTTAATGATCTAGCACATAAAATACCAAATATACAAATAAATACGTTAAAGTGTGAAAAAGTTGAATGTGGCCTGATTTTTTTAAAATGGTTTTTGATGATAATCAATCTAGATGCGCTCCTGTTAAAACTTCTGCGGTCAGCATCAGCATCACTAAAGCTCGTCCGTTATTATAAAAAAAGTCTCAGTTCTCACACACACGGTAATAATCTCACCTTCCAGCCCGCAGAGCTGTTGCTGTCTCCCTTATCCTTGAAGTAGGGCACACTCTTCACCATCCAGTCGTAGATCTGAGACAGGGTCAGCCTCTTCTCAGGTGAGCTGTCTATGGCTTTGGTAATGAGGTCAGCGTAGGACATGTTACCCCAGGCGTTGCGACGGGACGAGCTGATCTTCCTCTGACCAGAGGCGCCCAAGGCTGGGACCCCTGAAGGAGACACCTGTTGCTGAGGCGGCAGCTGGGGACCCGGCAGCTGCTGCTGCTGCTGCTGCTGCTGCTGCAGATGATGATGATGATGATGATGTTGGTGGTGGTGGTGAAAAACATGGCAATGTGTTTTATCCTCTGCGTATTCTTCATAGTTCTCTTCCAACAAGCAGAGGCTGCTGATGAACTCCGCGTTTCCTCCGGGCTCCTGCTGCACTGACGGCGCCGGGGAGGATGTGTTGGACCCGGCGGGGTCAACGAGCTCCGGGCGGTGCAGGGGCCAGGTGCAGGACCGCGGGCGGGGCAGGGGCTCAAAGTCCGGGTCAATATCGACAGGCTGTACCTGTGGTGGGGGCGCCTCAGCCATGTCTGGGTCACACCGGTGCTGCCCTTCACATCAACGCTCACATATAAAAGTATAGAAAAAGGAATAAAAATAGGACTTACAAATTGAAAAGTGGATGCTGCGTCCACTGGTGGAACCACAGAAGTAAACAGAAGTGTCCAGTTTATCTGACAAAGATTTTGCGCTGGCTTTTGAGTGAAGTTCACACCTTCCTGCATCGGTAACTCTGAACTCTGCCGCTCTGTCACGTTTAACAAGTAGCCTGGCAGAGGAGTTTGGTGATGCCTTCATGGTCCGCTCGCAGGCTCGATATTTACATCTTCGCAACTTGAGACGCGTTCTTACGGTGATTGTTGATGAACCGCGTACAAATCGGACCTTTGTTTTAAGATTTATAAATTCATGAGACATAATTTTTATTTGAACCATGTAATAAAGTGGGGGTTAGTTCATTTCCATTTTCAATGCGTTTCAAAATCTGAGCAATTTTGAGACGCATTTACAGACTTTTTAAAACTCGTGGAAATTTTAAGGTTTCTGAAGTTTTAGAGATTCCCATTTTTGAATTTCATTAAACAAAATAACACGATTGTTTCTACAAAAAAATGCATTGCTGCATTAAAAATCAATGAAAAGACACATGGCAAATATACCCTGCTGTACAGTTACATACCTTTCAAACACATCACTGTGCCTTGCATTTTTTCCCATGTCACTTTGCAGACACAAAAATTAATTTATGTAATCTGACACAAAGCAAGAAATAATTGTAAAATGGCTCTTCACAACACTTTTACGCTGATTGTACAATCTTTAGAACTAATCTGAAAACAAAATCACTGAATCTCAGTTTGAATCCAGGTGTTTATAAAGTCAGATGTTCGTAAGAGAAAATTAGTGAACAAACAGCATCATGAAGAGCCAGGAACACAGCAGACAGATCAGGGAAATGTAGACAGTTGAGGTGGAGTTGGGTTATTAAAAAATCTAAACTTTTTAACATGACATGGAACATTTTTTAACCCATCTTCTGACATTTGTAAGACTATGATCACAGTGAGACCATGTCTCAGCAGACATTTATCATGCCCCACAAATTTGGCCTTTATCGTCACAAAAAGAAGTATGCGGTTTAATGAAAGTCATGTGAACCTAATCATAGAGCTGAGACATCAAACACATGGAAGAAGGACAACTGGTCAGATGAGAAATTAAGCCAACATACAAAATACTATGTGCAACAGAAAACTACCATCCCCACTGAGAAACATGGTAGGGACAGTATCATGCTGTGGGGATATTTTTCCTTTGCGAGGCCAGGGAAGTTGGTCAGAGTTAATGGGAAACTGCTAGAGTTTCCCATTAACTCTAGCAGTTAATGGGAAACTCTAGCAAACGTTTACTATCCAGCAGGTAAAATCTAAACCTACGGACGGACGGAACAACGCAAAACGTCAAAAGGTTTCATTAGTCTGCAGGGAACCAGTAGTATCTCCATTATGTGTTGAATTAGCCTTGAATATGATTGCACTTAAATTAAACAAACATGCATGAAAAAGCCTTTCAATTATTTCTGTCCATTTCAGTTGAATGTCAACAGTTGTACTTTTTGAAGAGGTAACCCAGTTGTATTCACAATGATTCCAAGGACATCAATAAAATAACAGCTTATATCGATATCAAAAACTAATTTGACCATATGAAAGAAAAAAAATGCTAAAATTTTTTACTTGGATGTAATTTCTTACATAGAATAAAACGTTTTCTCTTTTAATATGGCACATTTAGAGGTTACTCGTTTGTAGAAACAGCATCACCTGTCAGTATCGCCATCTAGTGGCCAATATCTGAGCCCTTTCAAAGCAAACCCTGTTCTTACGTTACACAGGCCGCACAAACAGAAAATAAGGTGCTGGTGCCAACATCCTATCATGCCTATCACGCCGTTTGAGGAAACGTGAACAAAAAGTGGAAATGGGGTACTTTTAAACATCAACCTGTCATGCACCACTTTGCCAGACAATAGATTGAGTAAAGTGTTTTTAGTGCAGAAGGAATCTGGGAGGCATATTGTTGAGAGCTTGTTTAACTCTAAAAAGCACTTCCTGTACAAAGAATACAAGGTTCAAGGTCTAATAATGTTCTTACTGTAAACTGAGGCCCAGAGTACGGGCACACAGGTTTCAAGTTTGGACCGAAGATCTGGAAAAACATTATTAATCACGCTTCTAGGCGTCCGTGTGAACTCAGGCACTTAGAAAATACAAAAATATTTACCTCAGCGTACTCTTTCTTTAAAAGATCTCTGAAACTCCATTGAGGATATCAGCCGTTGCCGAGTAATACTCGTCATCGGACAATCAAAAACTAGGACAGATATTTGACAAAAGTATCTCAGAATCTGTAGCCTTTCAATAATGTCACTACGTTAAACTTGTTGAACTTGTAAGTAGCATTAAACTCTAAAGACTGGTAACTGATCGGATCCTGCAGAACGACGATCAAAATTACACCAGTGAATCCGCCATTGACTAACTGAGAACAAAATGAAGAGCACCGGGCCTAGTCAAAGTCTGGTGACCTGCAAATAAACCCTCAAAATATCTCAGAGCTGAAAGTGAGAAGTGGGGCAAAACTTGGCTCAGACTGATATCAGAATTTGATAGATGGTTATAACTGTCTGAATTAACAATCTTATTCTTTTCCAAAAAAGTGTTAAAAATATCAGGCTTAATATTTGACATTGTTTGTGGGAGTACTCATTTTTTCACAATAATACATCCTGATGGAGATCAGAGTTAAAATCTCATGCTGTTATGGAAACTACCAGCACCAATCAGCCAATGTAAAATCTGGCTACCATGGAGACTGAACAAAGGCTGGTGGAGATAAATTACTATCAACTTCCCAAAAGAAAGACTACAACTCCTGTCCTTCCACAAAGAAAACACAATGTGGTTTCATGACATATTTTAATAGAATACGACGTGACACATTTAACAAAAAAAAGAAGAAGTAAAAATAAGAGTTGTATGCAGCCATTTCAAAGGAAGTTGTATGAGTCCACACTAACTGCTCTTCAGAGGAAAAACTTGTAACTTCTTGTTTAGAACCTGTGAATGTACACAAGTGCAAGGATGAACAAAGGCAGCAAAGCCTTGCTGAGAAAAATGATGTCCCATTTTTGTACTTTTATGTCCAGCAAATATGGGAAACCTCTTGGGTTTAGTTTAGATACACATCAGCTTCGTTAAGAACCTCCTCCTTTTGATGAAAATAGTCTCTAAACCAGGAAATGTGCTCCTTCTTCTGCTCAACGGTCAAGTAGGGGTTTTTAGCCAGACCAGTCACAACCAGCTCCATGAAGTGACGCACAGGCCCCTGACGGGGGAAGCCGTCCTCTAAGTGTTTCTCTAAGAAGACGTGCTCATGGAACGGGACACTGGCTTCATCTTCAAGGCCTAACACAGAAAGAGATTACAACATCACAGTGATTGGGAGACGATATCGTATCTGTTTGATCTTGTAGACGTTTTTTTTTTTCTCTGATTTTGCCACTTTTTACAGCCACAAATTACAATTGGACATGAAGACTTAACACTCCTCTAGAGACAGATGTACTCCAAGCTTCTGTTATGATTTCCAGCTACAGCGCCTTGTCAAAATTTAAAGGGTGCTGAAATCACTTCCCTTCCAGATTATTATTGGAAAGACATTTTGAAAATTAGCTCTCAGTTTTGTTCCAATTCAAAGTTGTGCACTTCTTTGTGTTGGTCTGAATGTAGTTTGTGGTTATAAAATGAAAAAAAAAAATAAAAATAAAAATAAAAAAAAAAATAAAAAAATTAAGACGTATAAGTATTCTGTCACTCACCGATTTCATTGTTAATCGGGTACTGCCACAGTTTTCCCTCTTTGGTCCACTGGATCATTTCCTCAAACCCGTTACGTGGCTTTTGGTTGGTTAACAGAGATAACTCATTGGCGAACTCTATGTCCCACAGGGTCGGCTTAGCTGAAGATATAACACCAGTGTTACGAGCAATGTCCCACAAAATAACAAAAATGTATTACTACAGCACTGCTCTTTCTATAACACTGAGTTGCAGCAGGATGGCTTATTGACTCGTCCAGCAACGGTCAAATTTGGATACCTGAGCTGTTCTACTGCACGTAATTTCTATATTAGATGCACTAATGGTGTAAGAGATAAAAATAGAGAAATGTATATGAAAAGTTATTATTACCAAGTGCTGATTCATCTCCCTGTTCATCAGTGGTTTGAGAGAAGATATTAAGTCTTTTTGCCGGAAAAATATTCCTCCTAGAAATAATATAAAACAAACAAACAAAAAAAAAACCATGTTCGCTTTATTCCTATTATTATTTAACTGACAGTGTTATGAATGTGCTTACCTTTTCTGAACATTGGCCAGCTCACTGGTAATTCCTCTGTCACGTACGTATCCTTGTCCATCATCGTCAAATCGGATCTGGTCAGTAGGCCAAGCATTCTGCCGACCAGACCTCTTTCCTACTTTCATGTCAGCTAAAAGAACTCTGAGGAAGTATTACAACATAGTGCTTAGTAAATATAAATAAATTAAGTCTGCTACCATTCTTTAAAATGCAAAGATTCATCAAAACTGATATTAAAAGACTGACAGTGTCAAAGGACTGAGCTGGAAATACAGTGAAAGGATTCATAGGAAAATAACTGACCTGCTTAAGGAATGTGAAGAGGAATATCAAAATAAACTTAGTGGAACACAAGAGGCAGTCAGATAGTGTTATTCTGATGCTATCAAACAGTTTATTATTGTTGATGCATTGTTTTTGTTTTCATTTCACAAATTAAAAACAACATGAAGCTGCTGGTTCCCGTAACCCGCCCTCCCAGCTTCTGACTAAAGTTGTTCTTTCCTCTGGTCCTGCTGTCCACCGCTCCAAGGATAGCTACTGGTTTTGGCTGGCAGAGCCAGAGTTTACTTTGGTGGAAATACAAATAACTCTGGCTCAGCGAGCACTTGATGGAAAACACCCTGCATGTGTACGTGTGTGTTCAGCTGATGAACGCTCAGACATTGTTTTTGGGGAATTTAGAGAGAGCCCTCGTTAAGGATGAACTGACACATTACTGTTAAAAGCATATATTAATGCGCCTATATGCAGGTGACATACCCAAGATTGTTGACGTCGCCTTTTTTCTGAGCTTCTGTGAGAAGTTTGCGCTGCCTCAGCTGTTTCAGCAGCTCTGACTCCGCCTCGCTGCGATTAGGAAGGGTGGAGGCTGCAGCAGATGCTGCTGCGACCAGATCAGGATCCAATGCTTCACTAAAAATACAAAATGGAAACAAAAACCTTAGAAATTTTCCAGGAACTGCAGGTCAGTTTCCGCAGGTTAACTAAAATGACTGTGTAATGGATTGATGGACTGTGTAATTACATCATCCTGTGAACTTGGAATGAAAACACTCAACATTGAAGCAAAATAAATGTTATATGATAAAATTTGTTTATAGTAATTTAACTTTTCCACATTTTATCACTACACAACCTTAAGTCAATGTATTTTACTAAAACTGCATGTGCTAGACAAATACAATATGACTTGGGTCAGGCTTTTTAGGTATGCTTCCACAAGCATAGTTTGTTGATCTCTCATATAAATCCCAACGACAATATATAAAAAGTTATGGCTGCAATGTGACTAACAGAATAAGAATACTTCTGCAAGGTACTAAAAATAACTCCAAGATTTCCTACCTCTGTGCTGAAGCTTGCACTGTTGCCTTTTGAAACATACTCGACGTGCTCTCCATGGCTGCTGCAGCCGATTCAAGACTTTGCTTCGGCTTCAGGTTTTTGAGCCTTTTTTTACTGGTAACTTGAACCTTCATGGCTCCAAGGAGGTCCAAAAGACTCTCCTTCCCACTTTTAGCTCCATCAGTGTTTACTTGTGATGACTTTGACAAGAACTGTTCAACTTTAACATTGCTGTGCTGTTGCATGCTATCTCTATCAGTTGCCTTCACCTTCTCTGTCTCCTCCTGTAGTTGGGTAATCTTTGCTGGAGTATCCACATTTGTTGCCTCATCTTGATTAGAGGGGATTGCATTGTCTTTCTTTTCACAGCATCTGACTGAGCATGTGCTGAGAGGGTTTACTCCAACTCCAGTTAATACCCTGCGCGAGATGGGAAACAAAAATTACAATTACAGAAAGTAAAAGGATACCCAAATAATATTCAATACTAAAAAGTGCCACGCAAGTATGCAATTTCACAAAACTACTGTGCAACTAATTTGGCGATATGGGTCATTGTCTGTTTGGCGGATCCACTTGTGCTCAAGTTTTAATTTCCTGGCTGGTGAATATCCCCACGTTATGTTCTTTCCTCATTATCCATTTATAAAGTGTAGAAGTCTCTCTTGCAGCAAAACTCGTGATGCTGCCACCACCATATTTAATAGGCTAGCAAACTTTTGTTCCATGGTCACCAAAAACAAACTGTTTCAAAAGGTCTATTTTAACCGCTTCTACCATTAGAAAATATAAATTGTTGAACTTAATAGTAATAATTAAAGACATCTAATAACTGTCGTTTTGTGATTTTGGACAGCATCCTTTTTAAACGTTTCAACTTAAATTGAGGAAAGTCAATCGAACTACTGGGCTTTTAAAAATTTTGCAAGTTATTTATTGATTGGCATGCCTAGCTAATATGTCAATCAATAAGCCCCGCCCCATCCGCACAAGTTAACCAAGCTAACAGCTAACATTATGTACTTACCACATGGGAAATTAATGTTAGGTTACGTAAAACTTAAAGCTGTTGTGTGACACCATCACATTACACCGAAGACCTTTAGTCATTTGTTACGAGCATCTATTGCTCATTTATTGCGTTCATATTATTTCTTTGGCAAAGTAAACTCACCTAGAAACGTTGTCGTATTTGGCTGAAAATACATGACCCTCGTAGACACAAAGTGAGTGGTTTCGTGTCACACAAACGGTCCGGGATAAAAATCTATACATGTTTGTTTCTCGCAATGTCCTTGCACGGTCCTTACCTTCTCCGTAGCTACACAATAACGCTCCCCCTATGAACGTAGTAATAACAATAGTTCCGCTTGGAGAACTGGTTGTTCTGTAAAGGTTTAACACGGGTTTTCATGGTAAAACTTATAAATTCTAATATTAGACCCTTAAAATGATTTATTTCTTGATATTCCTGTGCAATTTACAATTCAAAGTGCAATCTTTGTTTTCGCATTTACTTTTAAACAGAACGCCACTTAATGTAGCTGTCAGTTGTAATCTCGCGATCTCTGAACTGGAACGTGACTCAAAATGGCGATAGAACATAGCGCTAATTCATGAGCGGATGTCCCAGCTTGCAGTCTGTGATCAAGTCAGCCGTTAACAACCAGTGATGGATAATACCAGAGAAGAAATAGCTTCGCGCCATTGTCATTTTTATAAATTTTGATATCATTTGTTTGTTTAAAATCCCGAGTGAACTCGAACGGGAAAGGAAAACTTCACAGGTAATAATGTCAACGGTAGCTACGCTATTAGCATAGAAGCTAACAGGCATATTTTAAGCGTTAAGTATTAGTTAATTTAAAAGTCGTCATGAGCTTTAAAGCTAGGACAATTCGTTTTCTTGTGATAAAATTGAAGTATTTTACTGCATGCTTATGTTTGGCGGAACTTGGCGGTTACTACTTGTTCCGTCAGAGTGCCTGACCCGCTCAATATGAAGCGCACTAGTGTTTACATATACTAGTAAATTTAATTTAACCACCAAGAGAAAAATTGCTTTTAGTTTGATCTTATTTCATCTCTTGCTAAATGACATTTAAAGGTGCAATTGAGTGTTGCTTTGATAGCAAAACGACTGGTGAAATCGTGTTAAATAATTGCTTCTTTGCTGAAATAAAAGTGTCACCCAGCTTTGAAATAGCGCGGATATCTTATGGAAATGTATACTTTTTTGTTCTTTGAATAAGGCCTCCTTAATTTTCTTTATTTGGAGACCCTGCGAGGTTGCATGTGTAGCACTGATTTGATTTTATAGCTGCACTGTACAAACACAATCCGAATAATTCAGTTAAATTTTTTTTATAACGACTGAAAGATATATTTTTATTAAGTATTTATTTTTCAGTTTTATTTTGCCACTCATAATTCACAATCAACAAATGGATTTCTTAAATTAGAATATAATCAAAAAGTTTATTTCAGTTATTCAGTTAAAACTTGCATATATGTAGTACACAAAGTGAAAAAAAATCTGAAAATTTGATAATTACATATGAGCCAAAAAATAAACTAAATATGGAAATGTTACATTGTGATTTGTGCTTTTTTCAGCTAGAAGTCATAACCATCAAGATCAACAGAACATCTTGAATTACATAAATTACTGACATAAAGGATATTCTGATTCATTGAAACGTATTAAAACAGATTGTTGTTTGGATTGATCCTGCGTCAGTTTGTCTCTCTGCACATTTGTACTGCCCTTTCATGTCTTACAAATTGTCATTTTGTGTTTTCTTACTTCTGTTTCATTTCTTCAACTTCGTTCTCATGTACCTAACAGACTGAATTTCAGTTTAATGTTCTTTGTAGTTAAGTATCTTCATAAATTATGGAGAAAATGTATTCATGTAGATCCTAAAACCTTGCATATATACTATATTAAAATGTATAATATTTTCTGAAAATATACTTTCTTCCATCCATTTTGGCCTGGTACTCTAGTGAAATAAATACCCCTGATCAAACTATAGCTAAATACTTTCTGCTAGTAGATATTGAGTTGCATATCCACATTTCCTTTCAATAGACAATGAGTAAAGACAGTGAAATTGGCGAAGCAGGTGTAAAGCTTACGCCTGGTGGGTAAGAACTGAAACTTGATTAGTGTACATTGCTCCATTTCAGATGAAAAGAACAAAATACAAGTAAAATACACAAAATGGCGAAGTGACAGAATTACCTGCACCCGTTAGCCTGCTTTCCAGCATCGTGGTTGTCTCAAAGTTTCATTGCGCTTTTTAATGGTGTGTAAAGGAAACGGTTTCTAGTAATGGTTCTTGAAGGATAATTCTGCACCTATCAAACTTTATTCTTGATTTTAGTCTTGTTTCTTACCTGTCGGTGTAGTTTCAGTTTGTTGTTGTTGTTTTGTGCAACTCTGTCACTTGTACTCGAGACTTTTTCCTGTCATATTTTTTTTCTGTTAGTTATTACTGTATTGACACATATACACTCTTACTAAGTGGCCTTAGGGATCATTGTATGTCTCTGTAATTTTTTGATTAACGTTAAGAAGAAATAATATTTCATGGTTGTTATTTTCCCCCTTGATCATTTTGTAGCTCTGTTCTTGTGTAGCTTTTATCATTTTGTGATCAACTTTCTAGAGTTCAAATAAAAAGTCTTCTGCCAAGGAACGTTTTGTACCAAGCATGAAGCAGTTTTTATCTGTCAGGGAACATTTTGTACCTGCTTTGATGTTTTAAAAAAAAATGTTCTGGTTTGAACTCTGTGGGCTGTTGGTAAATATCAATATGACTCCTGAAAATGTCCAGTAACCAGATGCTGATAAGTCATTTTGGTTTGATTAGGTGTCAAAATCTGTCCAACTGCATTAGTGTCTGTTGACTCTAACAGGAATCGGAACCAAAGTGAAAGGCAAAACGCTGTTTACACAACGTCTTAAAAATAAGCTGCAAAATATTCATTAGCCCTCAATGTTATGGGGAAAAAAACACTAATGTTAATGAGCTGATGTCCTGCTTTGTTTCCCAGTCATGGCGGAGGAACGTCGGCAGAAGCAATGTTCGGTCAGCCTGCCCACAGAGTCCATGAAGGCCATGGCCGAGTCAGTGGGAGTGGGGCAGCTACAGGAGGAAAGCTGTGTGGCCCTTAGCGAAGAAGTCAGCTACAGAATCAAGGAAATTGCACAGGTAATTTATTAAAGCTATTTTCGTTTTAGTTTTTTAGTCTGCTCTGAGTCTGAAATAAAAATCTCAAATATCTTAGCGATGATACGTTTTCTTCTTCTTCACAGGATGCTCTAAAGTTCATGCATCACGGGAAGAGACGCAAACTAACCACCAGTGACATAGACAATGCCCTGAAACTAAAAAACGTGGAGGTAAGGGGTGTTTTAGAAGTGAAGCAGGACAGTTTTGCTGTGTCATGTTTGGGCATTTTACTGATGTTTTCCATGTCGCTCTGTGCTGTTAGCCCCTGTACGGGTTTCAGTCGCAGGAGTTTATCCCTTTCCGCTTTGCGAGTGGCGGTGGAAGAGAACTTCATTTCTATGAGGAGAAGGAGGTCGACCTCAGCGACATTATCAACACGCCTCTTCCAAGGGTTCCTTTAGATGTTTCTCTCAAAGGTACACAGATTATCAAGATTACAAGCTGCTTTTCTTTGCTTTAGGCTTTTTGAGTGGCTTATGAATAAGATTTTGATCAATCTTCATTTCCTAACAGCACACTGGTTAAGTATCGAAGGAGTTCAGCCGTCAATTCCAGAAAACCCACCGCCAGGTTAGTCAGGTTTAACATTTATTTTCAGTATCTTAAAACTGGAAATTGTGATTTATTTATTTATTTAGTCTTAAATGAGAACTTGGGCATAACTTTTGTTTCTTTCCTTTTCAGCATCAAAAGAGCAACAGAAAGCTGAATCAACAGAACCGCTCAAAGTGGTCAAACCTGGTCAGGAGGAGAAAGGTGCAATTCAAGGCAAAGGTCAGAACACACCAGCTCCTGATAATAAAGGTCAGTATTACTCCTTTTGTTTTGGAGGAACTTCTTCAATAATATTTTTATGCGCTTTCCCGTTTTATATTATAATTCCACACATTTTATCACCATTTCTGCACCGAATTGTTCTGGTTTGTTTTATTATTATGAATGCTCTGAGGAAGAATGTCTGATCTCCATTGAATCTAACGATTTTGTCCTTTTCACAGGAAAGGAGAAGGGTCTAATCAGGTTGAAACCGCGCAGCACCCACGAGCTTTCTGTAGAGCAGCAACTCTACTACAAGGAAATCACAGAGGCGTGTGTTGGCTCCTGCGAAGCAAAACGAGCCGTAAGTTTAACTGGTTTTTCAGTATGCACGGGGGCAATAAATCATTATTTTATTAAAAGTTTCCCCCCGAAAACTTGCTAAGCCCAGTAGTTGGGTGCTAGGTCAGTCATTCATCCAGCGACCATCGTGTTTTTGTGTTAAAAAATGTTTAAAGTTGACAGGAAATTTGAAAATATGACTTGATAATTATGTGTTATTTAAAGATCGAAGATTAATTCCTCAACACCAACTATAAAGTCTTAAAACATGCAAACATTTTAAAAAGACTTAAGTAAATAAGCAATGCTTAGCCTGGTGGAGGCACAAGTAAAGCCTGGTGGCCCGCCAGGCTTATAGTACATTGATAGTTAATTACTGTAAATGCCAACTGATATATTTCTCACCTCTGTTGTTGTGGGTGAGCCTCTTTTTTTTTCTTCTCACAGGAAGCGTTACAGAGTATTGCTACTGATCCTGGACTCTATCAGATGCTCCCAAGATTCAGCACGTTCATTTCTGAAGGAGTAAGCATGTCTCCCAACTATTCCTAATTTTCTGAATAGAGATGAACCAGTAAGTCATTTCTGAGTTCTGAGTTTGACCAGCTCTGCGTCTTTTTGTAATATAAGACACAATAGAGGAAAAAGAAGCTGTAGGATATTTGATAAAAGTGGAAATCTTTAATCCAGCAGAAAATGAAGGAATTATAAGATTCTCCAAATTTAAAATCACTGCTGATCAATGAAAAACTGACATGCTTTTGTTTTTTATTTTGCCAGCGAGATCAGTGCCTCTCTAGTTCCATAACATTTTACGTCAGATACAACACCCGCACACATCTTTGCTGACTTTATTCTCTCTCCAAAGGTTCGTGTAAATGTGGTGCAAAACAACTTGGCTTTACTGATTTACCTCATGCGGATGGTCAAAGCTCTAATGGACAACCCCACTTTGTATCTGGAAAAATACGTGAGTACAGAAAATAAACGAAACATAACATGTATAATTTAAGAGAAATAGTTACTGTTTTGATGCAGAGCGATGCATTGTGTTGTTGTCTTTAGCTGCATGAGCTGATCCCGGCGGTGGTCACCTGCATTGTGAGCAAGCAGCTCTGCTTACGGCCAGATGTCGACAACCACTGGGCTCTACGAGACTTTGCGGCTCGTCTGATGGCCCAGAGCTGTAAAACGTTCAGCACAACCACCAATAACATCCAGTCCCGTATTACCAAAACTCTCACCAAGGTGACTTTTCTGGTTCAACTCCATTTCTTTTTTTTTTCTTTTTTTTCTCTGACAGAATTTATGTTTTTTGCATAAACCTACTCTTTAATTAAGAAGAGTAGGTTTTTGACAGTCAGTTAAACAAATGGGTGAACCAAACACTCCTATGTTGGATCCTTCAGATGTCTTCATATTTTCCAGTTGTATCATGATTGATATCTTTTTTTTTTTTTTGGCTCTAAACTTTTCTCACATTAAATCAAATTTCTGATTTTTTTTGTTTGTTTTTGTCCTCCAGAGTTTGTTGGATGACAAAACCCAGTGGACGACGCGATACGGCTCCATCGCCGGGCTCGCTGAACTGGGAGCTGATGTAAGTTCGATGTAATGTCCTTCTTTACCAAACTATATAAAAATAGAATTGAAATCTTTTTAAAATAAATCTTTTTAAAATCCTTTTTTCTGGAATTTTGTTTAAATATTTTACTACCTTCATCTTATTGCAGTTTGTTCAGTCCTCAAGATGTGCAGATTGTAGATTTTTATTTAGATGATGAAGAAGATGAAGTAAGGAATGTTATGAATAAACATGCTTAACATAAACGTGCTTAAAGTTAACTTCTTGTCTGCCTGAATTAAACTTGAGTTAATTTTTTCCTGCCTTCTGTCACGACTCTGACTTTTGTTGCTTTTCGTAGGTGATAAAGACGCTGATCCTTCCTCGGCTCGCTGTAGAGGGCGCTCGCATCAAGGCAGTGATGGACGGGCCTGTAGTGTCCAACATCGACAGGATAGGAGCTGAACACGTTCAGAGCCTCCTTCTGGTAAAGAATGGTTTTCTTTTCCGTTTGCTCCATTACGTATTTCCATACGCTGAAAACATAACACAACGTCTACACCTTTGACTTGAAAGTTGAGCTCATAAGTTTCTGTTATTTTTCAAAGAAACATTGCGCCAGCGTCATCGCCAAAATACGGCCTCAGCCGGACAACGTGGAGCAATACCGGACGGACTACGGCTACCTCGGGCCCATGCTGTGTTCTCATGTAATGAAGGCCAGAACTCAAGCGGCGCTGCAAGCTCAGCAAGTCAACCGGACCACCTTAACAATCACACAGGTCAGAAAAACACAAATGGAGGTGAATCGGTTTCTGGACATTAGTAAATAAAGCTAGTGGCAATGATCTAATTTAGATTTGCACTCTGAATCTGTTACGATGAGACGTCCTAACAGTAGCATGCTGTTTATTCGTATGTGCTGAAATGTTCTTGCAGCCTCGTTCCACGCTTTCAGTCTCACAAAGTGGGTTGAGTGGATCAGGTGGGCCTCGCACTCCCAGCATCATTAAGGTCCCGAGTTCCCTCACCCTCATGTCTCCAAGACCCGGTACTCCGTCTCAGCCGTCGCCACCGGCGACAAAGTACATCGTGATGGGAACCAGTGCGGGAGCTGCCTCAACCCAGCAGGTAATCATTTTTTCAGTTTTAGTTTAGTTAGAGGACCAATAAACAGGAACTCTGTCCAAGGGAACTTTTCCTAAATGTAGAATCTGATATAAAGTTTTTCTGGTTTTTCCTTTTTTTCTGGTGTCATTGTGTAAATAAGATTTCTCTAATCATTCATTGTTGCATCAGCTGATCCATCATTCCTCCGTCTGTCCGTCTGGTTTTCGATCTGGCCACTGATCTTTTCAGACGTCTGTTCATCTGTCCATCCATCTGTCCTTCTAGTCATTTGTCCATTCATCTGTCTATCCATTTCTTTTCTTTACAGTTTGTGGTTTTTCCATATCTGCCAAAAATCTGTTTTTTGTTTAAATTTGGACAGAACTTTTGAAACGACACTTTGGGAAACTATGGAATTTTAAAATAAAAAATCTGCTGGAAGTCTGACATAAATGCTGCAACAAAAATTTCACTAACTAACTTAACTTAACTTAACTTGCACCCCTCTATTTTAAAATCATCTACCACTATATGGCAGTAAACTTTTCTTTTGGCCTTTCGTTTAGGTCATCACCCTTAGCTCCTCCCAGTCAGCCTCACCAGTAACCAGCACTGTTCCCAGTGCGACTTCCACACTGCAGCCCTTGGTAAAACTGGAGCCCAGCAGCGGCTCTGGACTCACGGCTCCCCGGCCAATGCAGAAGTATATAGTCGTATCTCTTCCCTCGTCTGCCTCCTCCCTGGAGACCAAGAGCTCTGTGCTTCCATCCTCCATTTCCTCGACTCAAGTCGACGGAGGGATCAAGCTGGAGCGCTCCGATTCCCCCGCAGCAAGCACCCAGTCCCCACACTGACGTGTTTTGGTAAAGAAGAGTCTTCTCATCTTTGGGTTTTTCTCGACCGAACCTAAAGGGGTCGACTTTGGAGTGATGCGAAGAGAATTATGTGAACTCTTGACTGATGAGAGCAAACATGGCCAGACTTTGTAAATATCTTAATGCTCAGTGGAAGCTGAACAGTCTGTGAAATCATCAGCGTTTCAGCTTATATTCTAACTGATTTCATGTCTTTTTTTACCCTAAAATAAATTTGATTTTGTATTAAATGGTGTGTGTTGTGTTTGTGGAATTACGGTTAAATATTTGTTTGTTGTATGAAACAATAGAAAAAAAGAAAAGAACTTGGTGGCTATCCAAAGAAGCAAGAAGTGTAGCAGCAAAAAAAATAAAAAAAAATAAAAATAATTGTTGAGAGATGGAGTGCAAAAAGATTAAAATAGGCAACACTGATAACATACCACTCTGGCTAAATATAACAGGTGTTTTCAAATCACTTTAACATTATTTACAAATTTCCATCATTGTTGAATTATTTGGGACTTTAGCTGAAACTTACAAAGACTAAACATTTTCTATTTTAGGTTGCTGCAAGTTCCCAATCAACTTTCCATTGACTAAAAGCCAGATTATTGTGACCTTTTTCTATTTTAAACTCAGGCGTTTAAATGCACTAAGACTGCTATGCCTTTGAGCAAGTTGAGGAAAATCCAGATGACGGGATAGATCATTGTGTTATAAGGCAGAAATAGAGACTCAAGTTTTAGACCCTTAAGTTGTAAAAATAACTTCTGGTTGCACTTTGAGTTGTCTCCAAAGACTTGAGGCTTGACTTGGACTCCTGAGACTCAAGTCTCAACAGTTTTTATCTCATGTAATGAAGAGTGAAAGTTGAAGTGGCTAGGCACAAATTGTTCCAAATCAATGATCTTGATCGTTTTGTCTTGAGTCAATGCTTTCAATTTTTATGTCCTACTAAACTTCTTAAAACTACTACTTGACTACCTAAATATGTAACTATAATAGGTTTGTTATTTTGCCATAAGCCAGTTACAGCAGTTCTGTATGGAAAAACAGGTCGGTATCCCTTAAAACTATAGAGAAATGTGTGAAATGATACCCAAGTCATACAGTTTTAAGGCAGTTCTAAATATTTCTGAATTTGCTTAAAATAAATCACTTCTATTTTTGCCATTTAGTGAATTTAAGTAATTTTGGTAATCATAACAGATTTATTACAGGAAAGTTTTAATCAGATTTTTGCCAGAAACATAATATAAAATGTAAATTTTCCTTTTTACATAGTTTGTGGTGAACGGATTCAACCATAGGTTTAGCAGCCATTTTATTTTGAAAGGACAGTTCTACGGATCGTGACTATTTCCTTTTTTAACTAGAGTGAATCGTTAGCAGTTGTGACTTATTCAAATAGATACCTATCTATCTATCTATCTGCTGTTGTAATAATGAATTTCAGAGTACGACCTTCAACAAAAGAAGACTGCAAAGACATATCGAGGATGATAATGGTGAGCTGCAGGCAGCTAGCCGAAACTCCTCTCTGCTTTTGAAACACTTGCAAACCTGGACGTTATTTCCTTATATTCTGTGTAGCTGTAGTTGCAGGGTTGTTCTTCTGTTTTCATTAATTTATTGTGGTTGGAAGATGTTGTACGATATGATTATATTTCTGAAATTCTCAGGAGCTAGCGGTGTATGAAAAAATGCCCGACCAGGTGGAAATCTCTCACAAAGGTAACAGACTGAAAATAAGCTATAAAAATTAAAATATCTGCTTGCGGAGTCCAAATAAGACTCGGTGTGTATTTGCTAGTTTCACATACACGCTCCTGTCAAAGTTCAGACTTGCCTAATAAAAACGGATGATGCAGTTTGAAATATTTGCCAGCAGATGTCGCCAATCCACAGTTGTTTAATTGAGACAGGACTTAAGATAAGGTTTTATTTGCATTATTTTTGAGGAAAACAGTAATTGAATTGTAATCTCATTAAACATATCATTATCCATGTGGAAAGCATGGATATTTGTGCAATGATATACAAATTCTTTAAAATGTAATGGTTTCTTGTAAAGTTACCACAAGTTTAGGTTTTTCACATTTTGGCCTAATATCTGCAAAGGCAAAAGTCAGGCAGGTGGAAAATACACACTCTGTGAGGTGGTACATTAGAGAAACTGCAACCAAACAGGTAATTATACAGAGAGCAACAGCAGCACTGCAGTGTTGGTGAATGTTTAGCTGTAACATTATGCAAGCACCACTTCTGTAAATGTTGAGAACACTAAAAACTCAAATTACCATCCAGAATATTCAAATGCAATTCTAAAATGTAATCTAGTAAAAAAAAAAAAGCACATTATTTATTCATATCTTTATATAAGGCAAGCAGTTGGTTTGGTCTGTGGAAAGATTAGGAATAAAAAGTGTATTTTTGCTAATCTGTCCTTGTGTGAATTCAGAACTGGAGCGTGACGGTTTCTGCCAGAATCCCTTTTTTGAATGTCTTGTTGCAGAAGTTCCTGAGGAGCACAAATCTAAAGAAGGTAAATAAACACCGAGGTCCCAACATCTGTTTTCCTGTCTTAGAGACAAATACAATGCATGCAGAGAGTGCGCCTTTGTAATTATTCTTAAGGTCATTTTTCATGTTTATGTTGATTTGTTGTTTGTGTGTTTTGTGTTCTTTTGTTAGGATTTACCGTCGTGGCATATGCTCTGTACTTTTACACCTATAGTACATGGAGAGGACGATCAGTATATCTGGAAGACCTGTTTGTGATGCCCGAGTTCAGAGGTACAAAATGTGTTCTCCTAAAAATAACATTTTTGCATTGTCTTAAATGTATTGTTTTAGTTACCATCTTTGTAACGTCCCTATGTTTCTGAAATTCTTTTGCTACAGGAAATGGCATTGGCAAAGGTTTATTGTGCAAAGTTGCTGAGGTATGTTTTACTTCATTTAGTCTCAACTCAGATGCACACAGATGACTGTGGACGTGCTGCTGCAGCTCAGGAGAAAATGTGTTTTTAACCTGACTGCCAGTATGTGAGCATATTAATAATGTTGTACTGCGATCCAGTGCATGGTTAATCAGAGGAGTGTTGTGTTTACCCAGGTGGGGAGAAAGAAGGAGTGTGTGCGGCTGCAGCTGTCGGTGCTCGACTGGAACAAGCCATCAAGAGACTTCTACGCTGCCAAAGGAGCTCAGGATCTGACAGTCAGTGAAGGCTGGCACTTCATTCGCTTTGATGGACAGAACCTGGACAATTTAGCTAATGAAGCTCCTAAAGATTAAACGTATGAAAACAGCTGTAAACTGTCCTCTGCTGTAATATTTTTTATCTATGAATAAATTAAGATATACCACCTTTAATGTATGTCTTCACGTGTTTGAATGAAATTGTAATTAGCTCCTGCACTCCTGTCAAGAGACATTACACAGTTTCTCAGAAGCACGGTGTCTGGACCTTAATTTGGATTACCAGAGTCATGTGATCAATGGTGTCCAAAGCTTCTTTTTGAAAATGACTGCATCAGTTGTTTAGCCTCTAGTTCAGCTGTTTAATGAATCATTAGTGTGTGTGAAAGAGATCAATCTGGTAAGAAACATAATGGCAAACATGGAATCAGCAAAAATATAAATCAGAACATAATTTATATTCGCTCATATTCAGTAAATTTAA